TGAATATTTATATGCACGTTGATATACATACATTTTATTATGCTATATCGTGTTATTGTAATTTTTGCAATATGGTATATAAAATATATATAATATGTACACTAACCTACTTTACACACTAACCTACTTTACATGATTGTGAAGATTAGGTGAGGCACTAAACACTGGTACAAAATAAGCAGTCCATAAATATTACTTAAAAATAACAACATTTTTCTCTATGGTTTGTGGTTTTGATTTTAAAGATTCTAACTGTGAAGTATCCCTTCAATTTTCTTTGTGAAAATATTAAAGAAGTATTTACTTTAGAATTTCTATAATATCTGACTCAAAATGCAAGTAATCAATGAATAGAAGTAAACTAAGCACACCAGGGCTGGATTGAGCAATGTGTGCAGTATTTCTACCACTCATGTGTGTAAAGAAAAGACTATTTTTATGGTTTTGTTTTTAACCAGAAGAAACTGATAAATGGAAGAAAAGCTAAGTGTAAAGAAATGCCATGTCGTCTTCACTATTCCCTTGAGGTAAAACCTTGGGACACATAATCATGTGGTACTTTATATGTAAACTGAATTGAGGGTAAAATATTTCTTACCCTTTTCTCAACAGAATATTGAAGGATGTTTGTTCCAAGATCTCTCAAAATCAAGAGGAATGCTAATGATGACATCAAAAGTTGTGTTGCTAAGAAAATTAAGCCAGAAGCCGAAGACCTTCATTTGGACAAAGGCAGAGATGTTGATGCTTTAGTTACAAAAGAAACCACTGCACCAGACAGGCCCAGAAGCGAATCAGGCTCCTTTCCCAGTCCTGCTGGCCAGTTGGCTGAGGCAGGCTTGGTAGAACCTGAACAGGATGCTGAAGAGCCTGTGAAGTCATTTTCCAAAACACAGCGCTGGGCAGAACCTGGAGAGCCTGTCTGTGTTGTCTGTGGCCGTTATGGAGAGTATATCTGTGATAAGACAGATGAAGATGTGTGTAGCTTAGAGTGTAAAGCAAAACATCTTCTCCAGGTTAAGGAAAAGGATGAGAAATTAAAACTGAGCAGTCCACAGAAAGCCGGTTCTGAGCCAGAGCCTCCTCCACTTGATGATGTTTATGTCTACAAAGAACACCCCTTTATTTTGAACCTTCAGGAGGACCAGATTGAAAATCTTAAACAGCAGCTAGGAATTTTAGTTCAAGGGCAAGAAGTCACAAGGCCCATTATTGACTTTGAACATTGTGGTTTCCCTGAGGCCTTAAATAACAACTTGAAGAAATCGGGCTATGAAGTGCCAACCCCCATCCAAATGCAGATGATTCCAGTGGGTCTTCTGGGGAGAGACATTCTGGCCAGTGCAGATACTGGCTCAGGAAAAACAGCTGCTTTTCTTCTTCCTGTTATCATCCGAGCTTTATTTGAGGTATTTATAGAGTTTGCATGTATTATTATTAAAAATAATGACATATTTGCCGTTTCATCATTTTTAATTTTTTTATGTTTCATTCTTAACCGTTTTAAAAATGCAAGTTGAAACTAGGTATTTATAACTTTAGCCACTGGAGCTCCTCCTGATTTTGCTTCTTATAGTTCATATGCAAAACATAATTTTAGAGAATTTTTCCATTTTAAATTGAATCAAAGATCTCTGCATTGAAGGTCTAAAAAATTATTTCCAAAACCTTTATTTTCAACAGATTATCTCTTAAAAGAATAAGCTTTTGATCTCATGGAAAAAATTCTGCTGATTACATGAGCTGTAGTTTATGTGTCAGTTAAGCCTTCTTGGATTTTGTATTTTGAAGGAACTGCTGTCTATCAAAGTTGCAACCCTGTTGTACAGAGTTTCAAAATATACCCTTAAATATGATCCATGGTCCATCCTGAAATAATACCACCTTATCTTGCTTGTTAGCTTACAGTGTATAAAGACCTTTCACAGATAATTTGCTTGACAAACATTTTGAGTAATGATTCCAAATACAGTGAATATCCTTTATCTGAAATGCTAGGGACCAGAAGTGATTAAAAGTTTTGCTGATTTTGAAACATTTT